AGGCCAAATAATTTTTGTCTGCTAATTGTAAGGAAAACAATTGGAGTAGACCTAACTTTTGTGTGTGGTGTTTTTTTGAGGTTGGTTTTTTTTTTTAGAAGGAAAAAAGACACACACCCCAAGGGGGGAAAAAAAAAAAAAAAGGTTGGTTTACCAACCTCACCAGCTCCCTCCCCCTCAAACCCAATGTGATGGGAGCCCAGGCAATAGCTGGTTGTTCCCTTGCATAATCTTTCATCAGCACAGATGGACACAAACCCCCTGCTGCTTTACCAAAAGCCTGACAGAGTCAACCACAATGTATGGAGCAATATCACTGCACACACGCTCTCTGGCCTCTAGCTGGTGCTCATGCTGGGACCCACTCTGGCTGTCACCCTCTCAGCCACACAACCTCCCCTTGCACATGCAGGCAGCCATGGCTCATTGATCCAATCTAGCAGTCACCCCAGGGAAAGGTGGTGAGAATACAAAACGGGTTCAATTGCCAAGATGGTTGTTTAAATCTGCCCTCCTTTTCCCCACTTAATTCTCAACAAGGTGGAGAAAAATCACACCAGTGTTGTTAAATCAGGCAGTGGTTACTCTGACTCTCCTCATCCTAAGGTAAGCATATGCCCTACATTGCTACGCATCCAACTTAACTGTATATCGTACATCCATTGAAATGAATGCTTTGGTACTAAAAGGTTTGGTGGAAACATTAGTAGAAAGTTGATTTCCCAGCAGGGATACACCACTCCAGCACATTTAAGAAGAGCACATGTGGATATTGGCACAGCTCAGACGTGACTCGTAGAATGATTATGTTTTACATGTGAAACTATGAAGTCCCGTTTCAGTCATGTAACAATGAGCACTTATACATTACAGACAGTAGAAAGCACAGTAGTTGCCAGACACTTCCACACTGAGACGCTGAACAAAAACACAGCAAAAAGAAATTGTCATTGCAGGCTGGTAATTTGGTTGATCTGAGATCTTCTACTCCATCACAGTCTTGACTTAGTGACAAAGTCACACTCCTATGTCAGGACATGTTTTGACCCAAGTATCTGCTTAAACAGGACTCAAAAACACTGGATGGGATTGGAAGTTTGTGTGATATTGGACTATTGTTTTGCTAACTAGTTACAGCTGTTTGTATTCGAACAGTTGGGGAGGAACAGTATTTAAAAGCTGTCTATTGTAGCCAAAATGTCACCACAGAAATGAAAAGCAATGCTTTATCCCATTGCCTGAAATCCCAGCTCTTTTATAAAACACAATATAGGTCTTTAAATAAAGTAAAAAAAACAACCAACAACAACAAAAAAAAAGACTGTGAAAGCCCCTGCAGGGATGGGTAGAGGGTGTGGAAGGAGGAGAGAGCAAGAAAGAGCACTTTTACTGCAACGCCCCGTTCATTTCCTTGACTCTCACTAGGATGACTCTCTGATCTAAGCAGAGGCACTCCACATTGCATGCCAGCATCTGCAGGAAGAATCAGGCCCTCTTACTTCATTACCTGGTGGCTCTAGAAAAGAACAGGAGAAACACCACAAATGCTTTGGGAAGCAGTAAGCCCAGTCTTGGCTCGCTAGTCATAAACCTAAAAACTGCCAAGAGACACGCATGCATACAAATATGTTGGCTGCAAAGTACTGCTGGCTAACCCTGCTTTTCAAAATGAGTTTGAATAAATAAAAATCAGAAGAAAAAAGCAAGAAAACAAACTGCCCACTTCCGTACAATATTTCCATGAAGCTCATCCTTTCAGCACCCGTGGCCACCAACTCAGGCATTTTCACCTGAGGGAGCAATTCAGAGACCAGCCTATTGTCACATGCACCCATATTTAATAATTTTCATGTGCTCTTTTAGTCAGTCCCCTCTGCTTACCAACAAAAGAAAACATCTTTAAGGTCTTTCTTTCCCTGAAGAGTTTGTAAACTGAATGCTGGGAGGAAAAACTCTGAAAAGAGTCAATGGGATAAGAGCAATGTAACATGCACTGCTGTAGCAAAAATACCAAACACACATGTTAAGGCTGTGAAGCCACGTGGTTTTCATTTGGGATGTGTGGGGTGAACACATACGCTTGCTTCCTTTATAACATAAAGCACAACAAAGGAAATCTTTGTTTGAAAGCCAAGGGACAGCCTCTCCACACACTTAAAGTCTAAGTTACAACGTAATGGGAGCTCTGAGTCATAGCTGTGGGGCCCCTGCTCATAGACACAAAAATCCCCTCTCCTGCAGCAGGCAAGGAGCTTAGCTTAGCAATGAGCAAAGACAGCTTCCAGCTCCGCATGGGAGACTGAAAGTGCCCAGGACTAGCAGCAAATACAAGGCTGAGCTGAGAGCACGTGTTGTGGATGACTTATGATGCAAACACGTTCCTTTCAGTGGACATTTCTTCCTGTAACTCCTTCAGAGCTTGAGATCATAACCCTGCACTCGTTCCAAGAGCATGAAACAGCTATGGCTCGACAGGGAGGTGGGATGGACATCAGCCAAGCACCTTCAGACTGTCTTTTGACTTTAGCTGCAGAAGACCATGGCCATGATCCTTAGACTGTGCATCACCAGCTCGCTAGGTAGGACCGCAGTAGAGCTCTATGTCCTTAAGTCACTTAGCATGCCAGATAATTTTTGTCACTGTGTTACAGTAGTGGAGGGTCAGCTGATGGATTCCAACTACCCAAAATACAGACACCTATCTCATTCTTGCCCCTACTAGCCTGGGAGAAAAAGATAAAGGTCTTCTTCAATTATCACAAACATGTTGCAATCTTCAGTGCAGAAGTGGCTGTGCTGCAGAAAATCCAAGTGTTTTCTCTCACATTTCCAACAGTCCCAAGGTATTTGGTTGCTAAATCTCCAGAGAGCTTTAGAAATCAAACTTCATCTGAAACCAGTGGTAGTCAGGTACCTGAACATCCAGGAGGAAATAGCTTAGGATTTAAGCATTTTGGGTGCAGATACACACACAAGCCCCTCTGGGAAGCACTATACTGTGAACATCAAATGTCACAGTTTAAGCTTGAGAACATCTCCTTAGCTCCATCTCTGGTATGTATTAACATTCGACAAGAGATTAAAAAATAGTGAAAAAAGAGATCTGAAAACGCAATAGAGTCTCTCCCCTCTGCCTACACGCATGGCCTACACTGCGCCTGGATGGTTTCTGGCAAGTCTTTGTCTACTTTGCTCTGAAAAGCTTCCAGCAAATCTCCATCTCTGCCTCCCAAGGCAGTCTAGACTACTGCTTAACTACCTCTACCTGTAGGAAAGTCTCCTTATCACTGCATGTGCTTTCTCCAAAGCAAGCTGTAAGCCCTGCTGGGATTCTGGCACATACAGGCAGTATCTTGTCTTAGGGAGCTACTTCCCTCCCTGCAGGCAGCATGGGAACAGTTTGCTCCCACTCCACATCAGGTGCTCCCTGAGCATCACCAAATCCTCTGCAATTTGGAAGAACTGAAAGCAAAGCACTCTGAAGCTGGTTTTCATTGTTTTCATTTGAGTTTGACCACAAACTCTATCTTTTCAAGTGATGGCACCCACCATCCCTTGAGACAACCCAGAGGAAGATGCAGTTGGTTACACAGGTGGCTCAGCTGATGCCTTATAGTAATATCTCTTTTCTGTTCAGGCGCAAGAACCTTCTCTACGTGCTCTTCCCCCTGGTTTCGAAAGTGAAGGAACAGTACGTTTTCCTTTGTCAGGCAACTGAAATAACCATATGAATCGGAGACTGTGCCTAACACGGTTTAAATTCTGGAACAGTTGGCCTCAATGGTCCTCACCCTTGCCAACATCATGCTTGGTTTTTCCAAGCCACATGCAGGGCAGTGGGGTGGATCAGATGCTTTCCCTGTAAATGGTGAAAAAGCATCTCTGCCTTGAGGCGAATATCACTGATATAAATAATGTGCTAGATCAGCCAGAAAAACCTGCCTCTGGAAGAGGGATAATAATGAAAGACAGTGGGGGGAAAGTAAAAAGAGAGCGAGCTTCATTTACAGACAGGAGGATGGCAATGGGCCAGCTCTCACAGCTTTGATCCAGGCTGGCCGGAGGAACATGCCAGGAAATGTGAGCTGAGCTTTGCTAGAGCAGAGCAGCCGTTTGAACTGACTGGGATGGGAAGAAGGGGACAGACACCACCCAACACAGACGCAGATCCAGAATAAAGGGAAAAATAAATAAATAAACCACGTGGAGTACATGAAGTAACAAGTACTCAGAGCTGTAGCAGGACACTGTGGCTGCCAGGACTGCTGCTCTGGCAGCTCCCTCTGCCATCAGCTCCAGTTCATCCCTTCCCACCACTGCTACCCGCAGAGCCTCCTGTCACACGCTCACAGAGCAGCACTGCCAGATGCCTGGGTTTCACCCAGCAGTTCTGCTTTCAGCGGGTTTTTCAGGGGTTTTCACAGAAACTTGAAAACTACACATTGCTGGCTTGTAAAAGCCACTACTTCCCTTCAATCCAGCTGCATCTGCTGTCACTCCTGATCATCAGGAGGTTGTCCAGGTACTTCCAGACCTTCGTTCTCTCTCTAACACCTGGAAGAGGTGGGATCTAGTGCCTTCCCAGTCTGGGTAAGGTATCTCTGGCAAGTTCTCCTGCAGAGCAACAAATGCAGCAGTGCTGCTGTCAGCAAAACTTGGACCGCTTGGTTCCCTTCTGCCATCATCCTCTGACTAGATCCCAACTGTACCACGCAGTCAGACAAAAGCAATTTTATGCTGAATGCCAAAAGAGAGAGGCTTTTAACACTGATCATCTAAACTGAATCCATTTCCAAATTAAACCTTCACAATATTGCTACTTTTGCTCTGCAAGTGCTGTCTGACCCTCGCTGCTGGGATTGTTTACTAAAATATGAGCCACACCACCTTCCTTCTGGCATTTCTGATGTAAGGCTCAAGGTCTCCGAATGAGAGCCCATCAAGAAACTTTTTCAAATCACATCAAATCTGGAAGGAAGAATGACCCCCGGAGCACTTACCTGCTACACGACTTTGCAGGTGCTCTTTAAACTTCACATTACTACTATCACCGCGATGCCGAGAAGACTATATTCAGTCACCCGCAACTGAAGCACAGCCAGGAAGTCTGCAAAACACAAAGAGAATGAATGAGGAAGTTCAGGCAGAAGATAGGTATGTAATACAGTTATCTAAATTAGGGATTGATTAAAAGAGAGATTAACTCACCCCCTTACCTAATAAAATGATCATAAAAGCTCAAGAGACCAGAAATAATCAGCTTTGAAGTGATCAGGGATGAGTTAAAATGCTGCTTCTCCTGTGGGAAAGCGTGCAAATCACACAGCAGGTCCGTCAGCTTTGCAGACATACCAGCAAGCGAGGAGCTCCCTTCTCTGACTCCATCCTCACCCACCAGCCCTCTCCTTTTAAAATGGATTAGGGTCAAATTAGCAGCTGTGTAAGTGCAAGGGCTGGGACAGTTTTGTCTGGGATTGGTTTGTCTCAGAAAAGGCATCTAGCTGCTGTAAGCAGCTTGCGAGGTAGAAATACTTGCTCGGGGAGCTGGGTTTAGTGAGCTAATGTGAGAAACAGAAAACACAGGAGAAGCGGCAGGAAGTAAGTCTAAGAGCATACAGGAAGATGTGAAACACAGAACCGCAAAAGATAAACTACCATATTTTAGGAGAGAGAAGTTAAGAAATTTTAGATGAAACAGCAAACAAAGTCCTCCAACCAGAAGGAGGAGAGGATGGGCCCAACAAGCTGGTTGCAGGCTGACAAGGGAGACGTTAGCCAGCTGCACACCAGTGGGCTGGGGAACAGGAATCCACCATGCTCATTACCAGCCACGATCGCCACTTCAAACCCTCCGACCGTCTTGATCCAAAGCCTGATGAAATCATGAATAGCGTGGGCTGAGCTGGGCTTTGGAGCTGGATCCTTTAAGTGCTCAGTATTAGCTTGACGCGTCCTTGCTCTCCTGAACCCCTTCACTTTGGCAGCCGTTGGGGAGGGGACGGCTCAACCCTCCCTCCTCCCACGTACCTGCTCAGACCAGACCATGTGTACAGTTTCACTTCTCCACTTCAGTCTTCAACTGTGAGGCCAGACTGGGTAAATGGGCTCTGCCCTGACCTCCCAGCGCCTCACAGGCTGCAGGGCTGCTTGTGCCTCTGCTCAACCACAGCCGTGACACTACCAGTAGCAGCACAGACTGCCAAGCACAGGAGCAAGAACACCCCAATCCCAAAAGGGCTGGATCTGTGCTGTACCATCCCAGTGGATGTTTGTTAGCCCCCAGGGCATGCAATGCCTCGTCTCATGGTGGCTCAAGGCCAGTTAGGTACAGCAGGTGCTTCTGCTTGGATGAAAGGAGCTATGAAGTGCTGTACAGGAACTGCTGCTACAGGACTTACATGCTCTCACTTGTTAAAATAATTTTTAAATCTCAAAAGAGAGAGTTAAGTCAGGGTCTCCCTCTACTATATGTGTATAGATGTTGGAGAGACCTTGACTGAACCTCAGAGGATGGTCTAAGGTCACAAGAAGAAGGTCCCTCTCAGCAGTGGGTGCATCTGCGCTGCATCCTCACATGCTAGCACAAACCTCCTCTTGCTCCCTTGGAGGCAGTCCGAGCAACACAGAACAGTGTTTGTTGTGGGTCAGCCCTACATGAGAGCCACTTCTTCACGCCAGAAATCAAATCCACCCCTGAAGCTCAGCAGCTAGTCTGGCCTTTAGGTCATGGCAGTAAAACCTGTTTGTTTTGCTGAACTGCTGGTCAAGGTTGGCTCGGCCAATTTTGCATGGCTCAGACGTGCGTGGAAATCAAAACAAGCTAAAAAAAAAAAAAAAAAAAAGCCCTGTTGCAGCTGCACCCCTGGGCCACCTCTCCATCCCTCAAGCTGCTTGAAGCTTGGCTACCTGCCTCCCTTTCTCTTGCCCACACTGAGGGGTGAACAGGCAGAAGGTTTTGCTTATACAACTGAGCCCACATGCCTGCAAAACCTGGAATTCATGGTCAGGCACATGACAATGCCACCCAGCGCACACCCTGGCCACGTTCCCTCCTTCCCTCCAGCCTGAAAACCAGAGTCTCTACCTCTTTCCACCACCCAGCAATTACATGTGCTGATGGAAAGTATGCTGCCTGGCAGCAAACTTGCTTTTTCCCCCCAGTATAAGTGGATTATCATAACACTTGGGAGGGAAAGAGCTGGCTCATCCAACAGCCCAATTTAAAGGGGATCTGAGGGAACAAGCCAGGAGCTTTTTTTCAGCTCCCTTCTCCATTGCACCATTGCTATGGACAGCAATTGCAATTCTGCAGAGCAGAGTATGCAGGATGGGACAGCACAGGACAGCAGGGAGAGTCCTGCAGACTCTTCATGGAGTTCATAGACTTTGTCAGTGCTCCCCAGAACAACTGCTTCTTAATGCTCACCTTGTTGACAGAGGCTGAATTTAGCTTAAATTTTGCCAGGACAGTTGTTTTAGAGGGGATGCAAATGTATCAGGAGAAAACAATACAACTAGAAAAATAAACCACCCCTTTTGCTGTGTACCCATTGCACTGGGGGAACTAATTTAAGCTATCAGGAAAAAAAAAAAAAATATTTGCAGGCAAGCTCCAAGACACTGAAACAACAGTCAGCAGTTGGACAGTCACAACAGCCACCCTAAAATTGTCCTTTTGAAAGCCATACAGTTTTTGCTTAAAAACAGACTCAGAAATTAGTTAGATCAGCTCATGAAACACCAGTGTTAGGTTTCTACAGGTCAGATTCCCTCCCCCTGTTACTCATTGCCACATAAGGAGGATCACAAGCACTGGCATCCCTCTGAGACCACCATGCAGCAGAGGTACACAGGAGCCCTTATTGCCATGGTGAGAACAAACAAAAAACAAAAGGGGTGCAGGACATGCAGCTTTGGTGGCCCTAGTCATCAGACAGCCTGAAATAATCACTCAGGAAAACCAAATCCCCCAGGCCCCAACCAGGGCTATTTAGTTTGACTTGCAGGGAGAGAGAGGGAAAAAAAAAAAAAAAAAAAAAGGCCATTCTTAGTATATCATAATGCTCCAAGCAACAAAAAGAGGAAGACAGTTAGGTGGGGAGGGGCCACTGCCTGAGCTCTTGATAAACAGGTACATCTTTGGTGTGCACAGGTCGCTTCTTCCTTGCAGATTCCACTGGTGCAAACAGAGATCACTGCATTCTACACATCCAAGTAATGCAGAAAAAACCCCCAAACCCAAACCCCATCATCTACCAGCCAGGAGCCAAAAAGCCCTCGGGACTGATCCCGGCACTGACATTGGCACTCTGACCTTTGGCAAATCAATTCACCTCTCTACACATCTGTGGCAATCAGACTTAGTAGGTGCATTTCCCACATCGGAGCAGTGTGAAGCGTCTGTTCTGCTGAAAACAAGGTTGAAGAGAACGCTTTAAGTTTCCCTTCCTAATTTCCATGCTCTGCTTTTCCTCAAGGATTGAAAGAACCCCTTTCACGTATATTAAGGAAAACTGGTTTTAAAAGCAGATGCCTATGAAGGTAGACAGAATCACTTCAGTCAGAGCTGCAGAAGAGCATTACCATCATCACCAAACCGAGCTCAAAAACCTCACAGAACAAGCCATACTACACTACAGCTGCTCTCCTGTCGAAGTGTTGCTTACCTGGCAGCTCACTGCAAACACTCATGCCTGAAGGAGATGCGCTGGGTATGGTTTAGGCCTATAGCACTCATTAAAAACATGTTAATAGTAATGTTTGCTTAGAGATGCTGCTGGTGCTCATCTTGCCTGACCGCATAAGAGACACCAATAGCAACGTGCTGTATTTTCCTCAAGGATTTTAATATGGCAGTCCCAAGAGAATTGCTTCAAGTGGGAGATTGCCAAGCTGAAGATGCAAAGGCCACTAAGGCTCTGGTTCTGTGTGTCAGTTTTACAGCCCATGACGTCCAGTATCCCAGTCCTGACTGTGATTTGAGCTACAAATACCTACTGGCCATCTTCAAAAAGGTGCCCACACGCACGAACAGCAGCTCCACGAAAACCATCGCTGTTTCTCTCTGCAGTCCTTAGAGAGACATACCGTGTCTCGGAAGAAAGGCAAAGAAGTTTTGTAACATGCTAAGCCCAAGCCACGTAATACTGAACACGCAGCAAAGCTCGGTGGTGCATGTACGTGCCGGAGATCATCACTGGCCTAAGGACCCCACGAGCTGTCCTCACCAGCAGAAAGAGGCGGCCGTGGGGTCTCTTTTCAGCGTGACTCGATCCCGCAGAGGCTCCCCACGTGCTCCCCTGAAGGGGGCTGCAGCCAGTCCTCCTGCAGCTGACGGACCCCCGAAAGCAGGCTGCCTTCTGCTCCCTGCCTTCGGCTCCTGCCGGGGCTGCTGGGAGAGGAAAGGCGAAAGATCCGCAGAAACTTTGGTGGGCACGGCAATCTGCCTCGGGGGCCTGACCCGGCACGATGCCCGAATTCCCGC